TTTATCCCAGGATATTAGAGAGACAAGACGGGGTCAGGTAATATCTTTTATTGGACCAACTTCTGTTGGGATGAGAGACAAACATTCCAGTTTCACTCTGAAGAAATGCTCTGTATAGCTCAGAAGTTTCTCTTTCACCAACAGAAGTTGGTCCAGTAAAAGACATTTACCTTACCCACCTTCCCTTTCTTTTTATTTTAGTTCGTTATATGCTAATGTACTGTTGTAAATCCTCATATATCACTTTTAATGCAATTGTGGCTTAAATTTCATTACTTTAATTCATTAATCCAAGATACACAAAGGACTTCTAATATTGACAAGTTGAGTTTTTCTTTATTGATGTATTTGCAAAATATATGTCTATGCATGTCTACATTCATGTTAATCCTAAAATGTATAAATAAAAAGAAAAGGGAAATACAAAATCCCTAACATTGCTGAGAGCTAAATCCACAAAATACATGAAATGAACATTATTATAAGTATAGTATCATAAATGAGCCATTTAAAATTCTCTTCTGAATGGGTGACGAGAAGATGGGGGAGGGAAAAAATTCAGTGTGGAGTAATCTGATCATTTCTTCATTACATTGTCTCTTTTCCTTAAGTTTAGAAATAAAAAGAATTAAAATATATAATAGGGGAATAGGAAATAGGACATGCAACTCCAGGTGCTCCATTCTCATTGTATATCTGCCACCCTTCAGCTTAACAAATAGTATTCCATTTTAATGTACTTGAAGGCGGAGCATCTATCATCCTCTTTCTTATAACTGCTGTAAGGTACCATAGAGAACTTGAATCCTAATTTTAGTTTCACAAAGTTAGAATTCACAGTTGGGCTCTTTATGCTATTGGATTGATACAAGAGGAGAAAAAATATCATACAGAATTCCATTATCCATGCATCCAATGGAAACTCATCCTTGGTATTCACTTCTCCCACTCCTTATCAGCAGTATGAGTATGAGATGTATGTTATGGTTTAAGAATAGGATTTATTTATCACTACATTTTACTTGCATTCTAATTATAGAGAGTTAATATGCTATAACATGCAACTTACAATTAAATGTGTATTCATATTTTGAAAGGTCTCTGAGCAAATGTTTCCTTCTACTTGTCTAATTAACATCTCAACGTGCCCATAAAGATGTGGAAAATGATTAATTTGTTAATTATATTGAACAATATTGGCAGTACTTATACTTGAAGAAAAATTGGCTGCGTAGTCCAAATGGAAAAGGGCAGCGATTCCATAACTTGGACTTTTGAGAGAGAGAACATTTTTAATATGGGATTGTGAAATTCAAAGACCCTGAAGCTGACACATTGCCTATGTTTCTATTGATATTAGTAAATGTCCATCTTTGGTGACAATCACATGGAGAGAGGTTTCTAAAGAATGTACTCACGCATGGTGCAGAAATATTTTGCCATTTCATTCCCTTTAATTTCAGTGGAAGTAGGGAAGCTAAATTCTCTTTCAATGTTTGGAAAATTTAATTGTAATATGAAATTGGCAGGCACCAGCAGTTAATTCCTTCAGTGTATGAGATCCAGAAAAGAGAGAGTCCCTGTCTCAAGGAGCTTACAGTCCAAGGAATTGTCTTCACTGCATTGTTAGTTCAAGCTAGTATATTTGAGGAGCTGCATTTCAGCTAGCCTAGCTCAAATAAGAGTGGCCACACTGCAAAAGGTGACTTGAGCTATGCTGTACACTCCCTGTACACTTGTCACAATATTGACTCGATTGGAGACACTTGCTTTCTGGGGGCATATCCCTTGGTTCTTTGCACTATTCCAAGCTGCTCCTTCCAACCTGTAGTGTAGTTCAGGAGAATGTTTGTCAGCTGTGGGCAAACAGATTATAGTGTTTGCCCAGCAATTTATTACAGCGCACCGTTTCCATTGGTGGTGTTTGTCTGCACTCCAGTGGGAAGCCATGAATCTGATTCTAAACAGTGAGCTTTGCAAAATGCTGATCTTCCTACAACAGTCGTTTTGGACACACAAGCACCATATTGGGTACAAGATGCAGTGAAGTAGCCTTTCAGCAGTGGCTTGTCACCCTGAGAAGGTGGTGACATGCTTTCCTGAGGCAAGCATGCAAGCTGCTTGCAGACATGATGGGGGAGTGGACACGCATAATGCAGATGTTCAGAACATAAGAACGACCATAGTGGGTCAGACCAAAGGTCCATCTAGCCCAGTATCCTGTCTTCTGAGAGTGGGCAATGCCAGATGCCCCAGAAGGAATGAACAGAACAGGTAACCATCGAGTGATCCATGCCCTGTCACCCATTCCCAGCTTCTGGCAAACAGAGGCTAGGGACACCATCCCTGCCCATTCTGGCTAATAGCCATTGATGGACCTATCCTCCATGAACTTACCTACTTCTTTTTTGCACCCTGTTATAGTCCATGCCTTTACAACATCCTCTGGCAAGGAGTTCCTCAGGTTGACTGTGTGTTGTGTGAAGAAATACTTCCTTTTGTTTGTTTTAAGCCTGCTGCCTATTAATTTCATTTGGTGACCCCTAGTTCTTGTGTTCTGGGAAGGAGTAAATAACACTTCCTTATTTACTTTCTCCACACCAGTCATGATTTCATAGACCTCTATCATATTCCCCCCTTAGTTGTCTCTTTTCCAAGCTGAAAAGTTCCAGTCTTATTAACCTCTCCTCATATGGAAGCTGTTCCATATCCCTCAGCATTTTTGTTGCCCTTTTCTGAACCTTTTCCAATTTCCCGTTTTTTTTTTTTTTGTAGATGGGGCAACCACATCTGTGCAATGTCCCTGTGCAGGCCTATGGTTCTGGACTATGATCACAAGCACTGAGTGAATGATCTGGTAGCATGGTTGCAGCTCATGGGAGCGTGTCAGGGAGGTGATGGCAGCAGACTGAGGCTGGGCCTGAACCTGGGCTGGGGCCAGGACCTGGCTGTTCACGCACCTGCTGGCCATAATACCCAGCATGTGTTTGAACATGTCCATTTGCTGCTGGTGCTCCTCACTTTGCTACTGGTGGTCCTGCTCTCTCCTGAGCAATGTGTTCAGCCACCACCTCTTCCCTCTCTAGCATCCTCTCAGCTGCAGTCTGGAATTGCCATTCCTGCTCTAGCGCCTTCCTCTGTAGGTCAGAGAGGAGGTCTGATCTTTTGCCAAAGTCCCTATGCATCTCCATCAGAAGGTCCTCCCTTGTCCTCTTTCTGCTTCTCAGATTCTGGCAGATGGGCCTATAAAGGAAACAAACAGTATGTCGTTTTGCTTTTTTTTCTTTTGCTCATGACAGAAACATTACTTACCCTTGACTTTGCATCACAGCTAGGCAAAAGTTGCAACTTTTTTCTCAGAGGCATCTGCTCCCTTCCATAATGCAACTTTCTCCTCTGAAGAGTCCAGGGTTGCTGGCCATCTTAACAATGGCAAGTGCTTTGCATCTATTCTTAAACCTAAACCTTAAAAATGGTTTGTGGAGGTGGGGGCAGGCCTGAGGCAGCAGAACAGTACCAGTTACGTTCTTAACACTTTCAGGCTGTGGTGGATTTGGAAGATATTAATTTGCTGGAGATTTGTCAGTGGAAGAGACAGCTTTGAAGCAAAATCATTGATGTAGGCCACGAAGCTGTTTCGCCATCTTGTGACTGGTGCAAATTAGTGACTGATAGTGAAGAGTGAGATACAAGCGAGGTTGTGCGAAGTTCGCCCTGCCTAAAAACTTGACACAAAGACCAGTTGGATACCCTGCTGTATGAGACGTTCTGCTGCATAATTCCACAGGAATGGAGTAAAATTTGAGCCAACATAAAGAACTACATATAGAAGTAGACAAACAACCCTCCCCCCCAGCGTCTCCAAGCTCATTACCAGAAGCATGTTCCCCACAGACCAGGACACACCAAGTCAAAGTGGTACCAGACCAAGAGATGCAAAACCAGCAAACATATCTCCACTGCTACAATGATCAACACCCCGCACAATACACCTTTCAAGATTCATGGGTCCTACATATGCCTATCACACCATGTGCTGTACCTTAGCCAGTGCACTAAATGCTGCACTCTTGAATGAACTCTCACAGGAAAATGATGAGACAAAAACACCCTATTACCTGTGAGTGAACACTTTGTGGAAAAAAGTGATCACTCTATATCTGACCTATCAGTCCTTATCCTCCAAGGAAATCTGCACAACACTTTCAAATGATGAGCCTGGGAGCTTAAATTCACATTATTGCTGGACACTAAAAATCATGGTCTTAATAAAGACACTGGATTTATGGCTTATTACAACAATCTGTAACCCACTAACACCCCGTTTTGTTCTATGACTAAGGGGTTTTAATGGGCCAATTCACCTTGAATGGTCCCTTAGAATATGTGCTAACTACTTATGCTAAAATCTCTGGTCGACCTTGTGTTTAGGTACCTTTCCCAGACCTGAGGAAGAGCTCTGTGTAACTCAAATGCTTGTCTATTTCACCAACAGAACTTGGTCCCGTAAAAAAACTTTACCTCACCCACCTTGTCGCTCTAGAGAAGTAGAAGCATTCACCCACGCACACTTCCGGCTTGTAGGCCCTGAAAGGTAGTGCTCTTACTTCAGATGAATTTAGTTGAGAAGGGATTACAGGGTTGGGCTTATTCTGTGTAATAACTGGGATAAGTATTGTCAATGTAGCTGTGACACATGAGGTTTGAGCTGCAATGGAAGCCCAGAAGAATGAGCTGATCAAACTTCCTATAACCATCTAATCCAGTTTTCATTCAGAGTTAATAATTTGCAGGTTTGTGGTCCATGCTTTTCAGACTCTAGGCAAAGAAGTGGTTTGTAAGACTTTCTCCAGCAGATCCCCTTTTCATTACCAGAAATCTCCCAGGGTTGATCCACATGTGTTGGGTTCTTCAAAAATGTAGAACAAAGCAGCGTAGATTTGACCTTTATTGTAAAGGTTACGGTGCTAAATGTTTCTTTGGCATTTGTTCTTTGTTAGGAATGTAAGTTCAGATGGCGCAGAAGCTCGGAGAAGACTAAGAGAGTGTGATGGCTTAGTGGATGCTCTCCTTCATGCTCTACAGTCTGCAGTCGGCAAGAAGGATACAGATAACAAGGTGATCTCATGTACTACAATTTGGATAAGTGTTTGCATTAGTTAAGGGGTCGAGCTCTGACTTCACTAGAAGCTGAGTTTTGTTTGCTTGTGCAAAATAGGCCTGCATTTGTCTAAGGACATTCTGGAAGGATAATCTAGTTTCATAAATTGGGTCATCAGAATGATACCATTGTTAGCTTATCTGATATGAGTAAGGAATATTGGGGGGGGGAAGCAAGTGGAAAGATAATGTTACAGTAAATGCAATGGCATTTTATTATTAGAATTACTCTGCAGTTATTTTATGTTCATGCCCTAAGTCAGAATTGGGGCCCCATTATGATGGGCTCTGTATAAAATATAGCTAAGGAGACAGTCCCTGCCCAAGAGAACTTAGTCTTGTTGAGACAATATTGTACATATTGTTCCGAGGCCAAATTCTGTTCTCATGTTGCTCCCACTGAAGTCAGCAAGTGTTGATTGCTCTCTAAGGGTACAACTTGGCCCATATGGTTTTACCACATCCCATGACATGTAAACAACTTATGAGGCAGAAGGCCAAAAACCTTCATGTACTTGAGAAATCAGGGAATGTGGTAGAACTTTATTATTCTTAATGCTTTGTTGGCTATATAAAATGTCTTAGCTTTATATTTTTTTCAAACTAATGAGTCTGTTTGTATGAGACCTGCAGAAGCAAACTGCACTCGAAAGCTTTGTCACTTAATCACAGACCATTTTGTAAGTTGATTTTGCAACCACCTGATGTTTTCCTTTGCAACCTACAGAGAACTGTTAAAGATTAACTATTACTACAAGGTCTGCCTGTACTCCTATTGATTTCAATGCAAGCCTGAAGTTTGGGCCAGAGGAAGTTCAGTTAAATGGGTCTCTTGATGTAGGGGGAAGGGTGTATCGGAAAAGGAAAATGTTTGATGATATAGTAACTGCCCAGTACATCTTTTATAGTCAATTTGAACTTCTAGTAAATCTATATTCTTTAAACAAGATCTGGTGGTGTCTTTGATCAGAGAACCTGCGTCTTGCATAGGTGCTATTTATGAAGGGAATTAAATTTAAAACATTGGTTTAATAGAACCTTAAATTAAGGCTTATTTGATCAAATCCACTTTGAAAACTTCATTCTTCCCTGAGGAAGAATTTTTATTTTCTTCCCCCCATGTAAAAGTTTGCAAATATGAGGGTGTGTTCGTTTTTTTCCCCCCAATTTAAATCTCTTCTAACAGTCTGTGGAGAACTGTGTGTGCATTATGCGAAACCTTTCATATCACGTCCACAAAGAGGTCCCAGGAGCTGACAAGTACCAAGAGCTGGATGCAAATCAGCCTACCAGCACAGGAGGCTCTCAGAAGAAGAAGAAAGATGACGCTGGCTGCTTTGGAGGGAAGAAAGCTAAAGGTTTGTGTCATAGTGGTCTCCTAAATAAGAGGGATTCTTGGAGTCACATTGCTGTGTATACCCCTGCTCCTGCAAGCAAGCTTGTGTAATTTACTAACATAAGTAAATTCATTGGCACCAGTGGGACTATTCACATGAGTAGAGTTATACAGTTGCATATTTTCTAACTCTGTGATTCTATGTTTGCAGGATTGGGGCACATGTTGATCTTCCCTGTTCATTATTACTAACTATTTTAGGAACTATTCTCTCATTGATACGTATATGTAACATCCATTTAACAATAGTGGTTATGTGCACTGAACTATGACCAGCCCCTTCACGTCCACTGCTGGCGAAGGCTGATGTGTTCAGAGTCTCATCATGTGCCAGTGTCGCCTCATGCATCAAATCCCCTGAAAGTTTCACATTCGTTCCATCCATCTTGCTCCACAGCATTTGCTGATTTATCTGGAAACAAGCCAAGTACACGCTAATTTCCATGCATGGTTGTCCTGTCTCTGCCTGTTTCATATTTTTTAATCTATCACATTTTTTTAAAAAAGCACAACACCATCACTCTTACATTCATTTAAATTGCAAATGTGATTCTAGTAGCTTTTAATTGTCAATCACTTTAGATCTGTTCTCTCCCTGTTGGGCACGAGTGTCACAAATATGTTGCATCTCAAGAGGGGATTAATAAAGTCTCAGTAAACCTCCTTTTTATCTTCCTTTCAAATACTGACACTCAACTTCTATAGTTCCTCATTAGTTTAGGAAATTCAACTTCCAGACAATTCTTTCTTAAAGTTTCCAAGTTGGGCACACAGTTCTTTGTTTGTGTATACTCAGATTACTATAGGTAGCCAAATACTGTTTGGGTTTTTTTTAATGCTGATAATTGGCCAGGTATGGAATTGCTCTAATTTGAGTGCACAAATTTGAGGGCCCTAACCTATAGTCCTAGGTTTAAAAATTTAGTCCCCCCCACATATACTGAACTTAAATATCTGGTGTCAAGTTGTTCTAGTTCAGTGTACTACAGTAGTTATTGTAGTATGTATCACAGTAACCACAGTCTGTCTTCAGCTTGACCTAATATAATTTTAAATAAAAAAAAAATAGGTCTTTAGCAATTGGAAAAACTCTTTGAGGAGGCAGAAAACATCACTTGCTTGGCCAGGACTTATACAGTGTATATGAGAAAAGGTAATATGATTTTCTTTACAAACAATTAACTTATGCTCACTTGAGCCATCTGCTCTTTCCATTTGTGGGTCCATATTATCCTGCCACTTGAAAGCAATGCCATTGGGGTGGAAGCATGTGAAAAATACATCTGATGTGTGAAATATATTCCCTGGGGGGGGGGGGGGGAGGGGAAGGAGAGAGAGAGAGAAAGCATGATTGCTGAGATCTAATGATTTTCATCTTGATGAGTGAAGAGCCTGAGGACTTCTAAATGACTGCTCTGCTCTTGTATGTCTGTCCACTTCCCATAGGACCCAGTGCTATATATGTACTCTGTCTGTATATGGTTTCTGAATTTATCAGCCAAAAATTTTAGGATTGTATTTTAGGGAAAATGGGGGTCAAAATCGTGAGGGACATTGAGGACAAACTGCAGTTGACTTGAGTGAGAGATGCAGATACTTGATTGCCTCTCAATTTTGGCTCACAATATTTAGCAGAAAATCCCAATTATTTTTCCCAAGCATGTTTCAGTCCTTTTCCCATGCAGCTCTCAGCTGTAAAAATTCATGCTGTTTTCTAGGATGGAATTGACTAGTAGCAATGCAGAGCTCCCAGCTGGTGATGTGCAGATCAGAAGGGTTGAGAGGAACAGGCAGGCTTAGTATTTTAAAAAAAAATTAAAAAATCTATTAGTAAGTCTGCTTTTAAAAACATAAATAAAATAACCCTTCTCTTACTTGTAAATTTCTATGAAAATCTAGACTAAAAATTTCTTACACTTCTCAGTCTAGCACTTGAAAATAGATCATTTCTTTTGTTCCTTTTTTTTTTTTTTTTTTTTTTAATTCTTGTGATGTTTTGTTACTTTATTTCATGGTCATTGATCATAGCATTTCAAACACCTCTGCAAAGGGCTAGTCTGCCTCCTTTCCCCCACTACCTTCAGCATTTTTGGAAATAACTAAAAAGAAAAAGAATCTTCAGGGGGAAAAAACACTCTTTCAGCAGGAACAAGAGGGAAGGGGAAAGTGTTTTTATTAGTGAGAGTTAGTGCAGCCCAGTAAATTTCAGGTTTGATTCTGTGCTGTGAAATTCTGCCTCTTTGTGATTGTTCCTTTGTATCTTCTTCCTTCCTATAAACTTTTGTTTTTCCTTTACTGCTTTTCTGGTAATTAGAGGAGTGGTTCAATCAAGGTGAGTCCTTCCAGTACACTCTTTCCAACATTGCCATAATCTCCTTCCTTTCTCCTTTTACATGCAAGGATTAGAGGTGGCACAGTGACCTCACTGACCCAATACCTGCAATACAGGGGTTAGCTCTGTGTTTCCCTGATGCTCATTTCTGCTGCTGTCTCTTGGAGATCTCTTAGGTGCACGCAAACTGCCCATCTGATGAAGGGGCTATTTCCAGTCTTGTTGGTCCTATTTGGAAGGGGCCACATTCAGTAAAGAATACAGGGCCATATTCATCCAAAGTGTAAGCCCACTAAGTGCATGGAATTGCACTTGGGAATTTGGCCCTATATTCATGTGCTAAGGGATCAGGTAAATGCATATGGCCAAATTTTTCTCACCAAGGCTAGTGAGAGACATAGTCTAGTGGTCTGAATGTGTGAGTGGGCGCCAGAAATCCCTGTTCTAATCCCAGCTCTTTACTAACTCCATTTGTCATCCTAGGCAAATCACTTAGCCTACCTGAGCATCTGTTTCCCCCTCTGCAGAATGAGGCTAAAGCTTACCTCCCTCACCTGGTAGTTTTGAGGATTCGTTAGTTCATACAGTGGCTTGAAGATGAAAAGTGCTGCTCTGTTTGTTGCCATTGATTTGATGGTGGCTGCTGGAATGGGATAGGTTTCGGGTGATGATGAGTGATAGTTGGTGCTGGCGTAATGGACTGAAGAGGGCTAGGGTGAAAAGCCAGTGGTGGTCTGCAGAGTCATTAGGGAGACCCCGCTTTCTAGCTTCCCACTAATCAGGCCCTGGAACAGGAGTGTTGCTAAGTTGGAACTCAGCCCCTGGGAGGAGCAAATGCCTCATGTCACTTAACTGGGCATTTTTCTAGCTGATGAATTAGCAGCATGTTATTAACTGGCCCTTATGGGGCTCTTTCCCTTTCAGTTCTTCTCGCCCAGAAAGATGCTGGCTGGGGATTTTGTCCTTGAGGGAAGTGTGGTGTAAAATGGAAGGGGGACATGGGCTATCCTTTGGGCTTTTTCAGGGAAGCATAGAACTGTTGTGGGAAGAACACTGAAATATTAGTCGTAAATAACACAGGGTCGCATCCTGAAGTCCTCACCCACTTTTTAGAAAGCATTTGACCCAGTAAGGATGACAATACATGAGCCAGAGTAATGTTTTTGATAAGTCCTTATGTGAAGGAAGATGCTTTAATTTCACGGTTTATATGATTGTAAATCATGTATTACACAAGCAACGTTCCTGCCAGGCTGCTTTCCCACACCAAAACACTGTGCCAGCTACTATAGCCTGGCCCCAGAGAACAGGCCTCTCAGCAGCTGTATTGAAAGCTGCCTGTCTTTTGGTGAGGTTCTGAGCTGGGCTTCAGATCTGACAATATCTTCTGCGTGTCAGGGGTCGGAAGGGAAACAAATCTATAAGCACAAACTTTGCACTTTAAAACTTTTTGGTGTCATCTGCCAGTAGAATCATTAAGCATCACTGTACTCCGTGACGGTCTGGCTGAATTTGTCAGGGGCTTAGGGCTGAACTTTTGTAGGACAGGGCCGATCTTACATTGTAAGTTGTGTGAGACATCAGTTGGGGAAGAGATTCATGTCATCCAATTTTGTAATTATGATAAAATTATGAATGGATTTTAAAATTGGTAAATTTAATCCATTTTTACAAGTGCCCGTCCTCTCATGTGGGTGCTGCCAAAACCAATTTAAACCAATACAACTCAATGGTTCAAAAAGGTCATAATTGTATGAAGCTTCCCATCCTCATGCAAACTTCTCTTGGTTCCTCCCCTACATCACAGACTTCTCCTTCCTAATCCGCTCCTCCCCACAGGAAAAACCCTGGAAACTTTAGATGCCTTGCAACATGATCTGCAGTTTCCCAACCCTGGTACTCGGTGGACCAGCAGGGAAAAGTACTCACTGAGGACTCTCCTCACTGAGAAAATAATGCTTTCCCTTTAAACTGCCAGCTGATTACAACTGCTGTCCTATCACATGAGAAGAGAAGCTGTTTCTCATGTGGCCATGAGGCAAACCACTGAGGGCTTCGTAGGTGAAAGCCAGCACCTATACCTTGCCCAGAAATTGAATGGCAGTCAATGAGGATTACAGAGGACAGGTAGAATGCTTTTTGCTGTGTGAAATACTGCTTAATAAACAGGCAGTTGCACTCTGCAGCCTAAAATAGGTTCTGTGTTACCTGTGTAAACTGGGTCTTCAGAGATTATGCACAAGAGTATCTTGTTTGAATTTAATTAACAATTCAATTGATGATGCACAAGGAGAGGAATCGAGCTCATTTTCTTACCGCACTAACTCGGCAGGGCTAACAGGAATAACAAAACCAAACTGTATTTTAAAGTAAATAGATAGGGCTTTGAACAGATCAGATCTGTTCAGTAAGGTGCCACTTTTAACAAGCTTATTTTCAGAGTAAAACTGCCCTGAGTTTGAAACTTGCCAGTGCTAGGGACACCAAACTTAATGGCCTGCAGTAAAATTATTACCCAAACTAAATTCTTTAGATGAAATGGAGGCTATTTCCTCTGTCTTCATTTAGAGCTTTTCTTTTCCCAACACTAATTTTAAGCCACCCTCCCTTCACTGTCCCTCTTTCCCTTTGTCGTGGGATTTTTCTTAGCTCTGAACAGTGACAACCAGAACAGGGTTTTCAGCTGAACAGCCAGGCTCAACTGTCACCATAAAAAGTAACATCCTATCATAATGCCTGACATTTTGTCTTCCTCTGTGTGTCACTAGCTCCCCAAGCAACATATGACTGAGTTTTTGCATGGCCCAAGAATTGGAGTGAGGGTTTAAGGCTATCACTAATTCCCATCCCTCATTTTAGCAAAGATATTTTTCAAAAGGAGTGGAACAAAATGTGGTGGTATGAACTTTTGGCAGATAAGAAAATGGGACTTTATGGTCTGGTACAACTAAGAAAACATACTTTTCAAACCAACAAAGCTTTAGATGCATGTTTCCGGTGTCTGATACAGAACAAAAGGGGTAGCCATATGCAGTGGTGTAGGGGCAAACCGTAGTCTGTCGAGATGAATTTGGTCGGCAATTGTCATGTTGGTAAATGTTTTTTAAGGGACTGATCCAGTTACATTGAAGTAAATTGAAGGGCTCCTACTGACTCCAGTGGAAGGTGAAACAGGCCCTAAATGGTTTGGGAGCTGTTAATATTTTTGGCTCCAAAATAAACTGACAAGCTAGTGATGCTTCTTGCATTTCAGATTCCTAGGTCTTGCACATCTCATGACCAAGTCCTACAACACAGCCGGATTGCTCACTACATTATATTTTCAAGTGCTTTGTCCTGTATATTTTTAAATGTCTCAAGTGATGCAGCTTCCAACTCTTCATGTGAGAGATGATTCTGCAGTCCAGTAGATGCACTGCTAGCTTGCTTAAATTGTGGTGTTCCGAACTTCATCCCATTGCTCCTAGTTAAACTGCTTTGTACCATCCTAAATAATTCCTTTCCTGTCTTGATTATTATGCCTTGTGAAAAGTAATTATGTGATTGCCCCCACACTTAGTTGTTAACCAGAGCTAAACTGTAAATATTGTAATATTTCCTCATAAGTTCTCCAGCCTTTTGCTCTTCCTTTAAAGTCTCTCTCCAATCTGTCAATGCTTTTCTGATAGTAAGGAGCCCTGACGTCAACACAATATCAAGGTGTGGTTGCCCCAGAGCAGACTGTTTCCTCCCTCCCTCCCTCTTAGTAGGGGGAAAATGGTGAAAATTAAACCATCCTTCCTCACCTTGCTATTTTTGGAACAAATTGATAAACTAAACAGTACTAAGTCACCAGAACCAGATGGTATTCAGCCAAGAGTTCTGAAGGAACTCAAATATGAAACTGCAGAACTATTAATAGTGGTTCGTAACCAATTGCGTATATCCGTTTCTGTACCACATGATTAGAGGATAGCTAATGTGATGCCAATTTAAAAAAAAGGCTCCAGATGTGACCCTGGCTATTATAGGCCAGAAGTAACCCCAACATCTGTACCAGGTAAAATGGTTGAAACTATAGTAAAGAACAGAATTATCAGACACACAGAAGAATGCAGTGTGTTGGGGAAGAGTCAACACGGCTTTTGTAAAGGAAAATCATGCCTCTCCAATCTATTAAAATTCTTTTGAGGAGTCAACAAACGTGGACAAGGCTGATCCAGTAGATATAGTGTACTTGGACTTTCTGAAAGCCTCTGACAAGGTCCCTCACTGAAGGCTCTTAAGCAAAGTAAGCAGTCATGGGATAAGAAGGAAGGTCTTCTCATGGATCAGTAACTGGTTAAAAGACAGGAAACAAAGGAATAGATGCAACAGAGGGTCCTGTGGCACCTTTAAGACTAACAGAAATATTGGGAGCATAAGCTTTCGTGGGTAAGAACCTCACTTCTTCACTTGAATCTGAAGAAGTGAGGTTCTTACCCACGAAAGCTTATGCTCCCAATACTTCTGTTAGTCTTAAAGGTGCCACAGGACTCTCTGTTGCTTTTTACAGATTCAGACTAACATGATTACCCCTCTGATAAAGGAATAGATGGTCAGTTTTCAGAATGGAGAGAGGAAATAGCTGTGTCTGCCAGGGATCTATACTGGGACCAGTGCTGTTCAACATATTCATAAATCGTCTGGAAAAAGGGGTAAACAGTCAGGTGGCAAAATCTGCAGATGATACAGAAGTACTCAAGATAGTTAAGCCCAAAGTAAACTGTGAAGAGTTATAGAGAGATCCAACAAAACTGGATGATTGGGCAACAAAATGGCAGATGAAATTCAATGCTGATAAATGCAAAGTAATGCACAGTGGAAAACATAATTGCAACTATACATACAGAATGATAGGGTCTAAATTAGCTGTTACCACTCAAGAAAGAGATCTTGGAGTCATTGTGGATAGTTCTCTGAAAACATCCGCTCAATGTGCAGTGGCAGTCAAAAAAGCTAGCAATGTTAGGAACCATTATGAAAGGAATAGATAATAAGACAAATATTATAATACCTTACAGTGGAACCTCTGAGTTACGAACACCTCAGGAATGGAGGTGGTTTGTAACTGACCAAAATGTTATGGTTTGTTCTTTCAAAAGTTTACAACTGAACATTGACTTAATACAGCTTTGAAACTTCACTATGCAGAAGAAAAATGCTGCTTTTAACTATCTTAATTTAAATGACACAAGCACAGAAACTGTTTCCTTACCTTGTCAAATCTTTTTTTAAACTTTCTCTTTATTTTATTTTTTAGCAGTTTGTTTTACACAGTACTGCACTGTATTTGCTTGCTCTGTCTGTCTGTTGCCTGCTTGCATACTTCTGGTTCCAAATGAGGTGTGTGGTTGACCAGTCAGTTCGTAACTCTGAGGTTCTACTGTATATAAATCCTTGGCATATCCCCACCTTGACTACTGTGGGCAGTTCTAATCATCCCCTCTCAAAAAAGATACATTAGAATTGGAAAAAGTACAGAGAAGGGCAACAAAGATGATTAGGGGATGAAACAGCTTCCATATGAGGAGAGATTAAAAAGACTGGGATTATTCAGCTTGGAAAGAGATGACTATGGGGGAATGTGATAGAGATCTATAAAATCATGAATGGTGTGGAGAAAATTGAATAAGGAAATGTTTTATGTGAAGGGAAAAATAACGAGAACGAGGGATCACTCAATGAAATTAATAGACAGCAGGTTTAAAATAAACAAAAGGAAGTACTTCTTCACACAGTGCACAATCAACCTGTGGAACTTGTTGCCACGGGATGTTGTGAAGGCCAAAACTGTAGCTGGGTTCAAAAAAGAATCTGGTAACTTCGTGAAGGATAGATCCATCAATGGCTATTAGCCATATTCTGGGTGTCCTGAGCTTCTGATTGCCAGATGCTGGGACTGGATGATGGGGGATAATTGATAATTTCCCTGTTCTGTTTATTTCCTCTGAAGCACTTGTCACTGGCCACAGTCGGAAGACAGGATACTGGGCTACATGGACCATTGGTCTGACCCAGTATGACCATTCTTATGTTCTATTTTCAGAGCCGTGAATTCAAAGCCTGAATTCATGCATGCACCAGCAAGCCCATTTTTACATGGGTTTTGTCAAAACATCCAGCGTGCTACCTTCTGCTAAATTAAACTTCCTTTAAATTAAAGTTAAGGTGATGGTATGAATCTGTCCATGTCCCTTAGCCAAGTATTTAAAGCACAAAATCATCTCCCTTGGTTTTTAATAAGCAGCCAAAATTACATTGTGTTGATTGAAGGGCAGTTTAAGGTTATTTGCCACCCTGTTTGCGATATATTAAATCCAGGCCTTCCTGCAGAACTATTTAAGCAAATAGCACTAAAAGGTGGGCCCATTCTGTTTCTCTCTGCACCTCATCCTTGTTCCAATGTATAGCTGTTCACAGTGAATCTAGTAATCCAGATGTATCTTCTACTAAAAAACAGACAAAAAGCCTCATGCAGCTGGAAGACATGAGGCAAGAATTTTTGTCTACATTGTTTATAAGGGCATAATACACTGGATTTATGAGTGAGGAAAATAACTTGACAATGAAGCTAAAGGGCCAGAATTTCAGAGGAGTTGAGCTACCCACAAGACTCACTGAATTGAAGGGAACTGCAGATAATCAAAACCTTTGTAAATCAAGCCAGGAGGTGTGCAGTTTTGTACCTAAATTGCTCATACAGACACAATGGCTACATGTGCGGATTGAAGGCTGAATATATACAAATAAAGGAGAGTTTGTTTATTTTTATATTCTGGTCCTGTTACCACCTTTCATACTGTAGATGCACAGTACAGTAACTGTTCTATCCATTCACTGAAACCCTTTCTCATTTATTGTCCTATTTTATGTACAGGAAAGAAAAATGGAGATCTGGACAGGAACTTTGATACACTTGATTTGCCCAAGCGGTCCGAAGCAGCAAAAGGTAATGCGCTAATCTGGGTATGTGCTCTTGAAAATAAGGAAAGCAGGTGGTGGGGATTTTTAAAGGGACTTGCAAAATGAGCAAGATACAGTGCTTATACCTTTATTTTGTACTCAGTTGAAATAATAGATGCATGTCAGTGTGCTGCTTCTCTTCTTGTGTACAATACTCGACTACTCGTTTTGTGACTGGAACCCATGTTTTTTCCCTGGATGGAGGCACTTTCACCCAACCTTAGGCTTAATCTGCCCCCATTATCGCTTGTGGCCAGTTTAATCAATAGAAACCTACATAAGAAACGGCCATACTGGGTCAGACCAAAGGTCTATCTAGCCCAGTATCCTGTTTTCCGACAGTGGCCAATGCCAGGTGTCCCAAATGGAATGAACAGAGCAGGTAATCCATTCCCTGTTGCTCATTCCCAGCCACTAGGTATGTTTGCCAGAAGCTGGCTGGGAATGGGCAACATGGGATGGATCACTTGATGATTACCTGTTCTGTTCATTCCCACTGGGGCACCTGGCATTGGTCACTGCTGGAAGACAGGATTCGGGGCTAGATGGACCTTTGGTCTGACCCACTATGGCTGTTTTTATGTAGGTTTCTATTGATTAAATGGCCACGGGAGATGATGGGGGCAGATTAAGCCTAGGGTTGGGTGAAAGTGCCTCCATCCAGGGGCAAAACATGGGATCCACTCTCAAAACACAATTTTACACTTTCTCTACAATAGACACAAGCATAGGGTGTTGTGTAGAGCAGGAGTCATAGGAGGTTATTTACAAGAGCTCTCCTCTTCCCTTCTACACTTTCCTCGCAATCCGCTTTTCACTGTCAGCTTTACAGTTCACCACTAGTTCACATTAATTTAGGTCTTTTGGAGGTTTTATGTCATCCACTGCTGGTTGACCTTCCCCTGATAATGGTAATTTTGCCTGCTGTAGTCAGCAGCCCCTGTAGCTTTTCAGGGCATCCAGAGACTGGAGGTCCAGAGGGAGATTTTGATGGATTGTGCTCTGGTTTTCTTTGGCATTCTGTGTGTATTTCAGCTGTTGGGAGAAGTGAAATCTCTTCACAAACATTTGGTGCATAGTACTCTTTTCAGCGGTAATTTGGGGATCTCCTGTGATTTTTACTGCATACTGCCATTTTTTGCAAATCTCAAGCTTTCGTTTAAAATAAAAATGTTTGTTTCCGTTGCAAAGATACAGCCTTTGCCATGCAAACTGATGCAGTGCTGCCCTGTAAACTCTGCCCTGCAGAAAACTCTCTTCTGTGAACACCATTCACCTAAATGAGAGGTGACTGTCAAGATCTAAGTGGGTCTAAATGAAAAAAATTAATACACACAAGCATTTTTCTCATTTTCTTTATTTAAAAAAGGAAAAGAAAAAAGGTAAGGAAAATGAATCAAAGAAAATGTTAGCTCCCCCACATTGCACACACAGTTTATACTGTGGATAGGGAAGCAATGTGGCCTAGTGGATCGAGCACCAAATTGGGATTCAGGATACCTGGGTTCTATTGCCAGCTCCACCACTGACCTACTGCGTCACCTTGAGCAAGTCACATCTCCTCTCTGTGCCCCAGTTTCCTGTAAAATGGGGATACTGCTATTCACCTCCTTTATGAAATACCTTGAGTTTTACTGAAGCACCATATAAGATTAGGGTGATGGTGTTATATATAGTTAAACACTTAAATTTTTAACTAGGAATCAAGTATTTTATGGGAAATGAGGCTGAGTTATTTATGAACTGACATATTGGCCTCAGTCTGTATACTGGTTTATTTATAGACACAAGTTGGCTCTCTTTGCTAAGGAAACTGTGGCTGTATCTTGCTAGACTTGTGCTTCAGTACCAGTTTTTTTCTGGGTCTAATCATGCAAGATACTCAGCGCTCCTTGAAGATGCAAAGAGCCTTCACACACGTACTGATTCAGGGCTGGGCCCATGGTTAGGTTGCAGAGCAGAGAGGCCTTTTAAGGATAAAAAATTTAGCCTGGGCCTGAAATATGTTCTAGGTGGTTTTTAAGTGCTTAAATGAGCACTTTACTTTTTGGACAAATGGGTTTGATAACTACTTGTTAGAGGATTGAGAAATCCAAAGTAAAAAAGGAAAGTAGAACCAACTTTACATGTATTGCATAAGGCAGGCCTCAGCCCTTTAATTTACTGCTAAATGTGGTTGCTATGTGGGTGCCAGGCAGAGAAGAATGGACACACACAAGATTTCTACAGAGAAATGCATCTTGTGCAAACATTTTATTTTCTTTTTAAAGAAGGAGGAAAAAAAGGCTGGGGGTGGATTTTGCTGACAACAGTGTTTTGTGGATGTGCCTGCTGGGAGTCACGACTGTGTCTCATTGCCTGTGCAGAGTTGTAGCTGTGTTAGTCCCAGGATATTAGAGAAACAAGATGGGTGAGGTAATATCTTTTATTGGACCAACTTCTGTCCAATAAAAGATATTACCTCACCCACCTTGTCTCCCTAATTTCCTTGCCTACGCAGCTAGGCTGCTGAGATTGTGGCTGCTAAAATTCCATGTTGTTCAAGAGGTTTTCTTTGATAATTTTGAGGAACCCAAATTTAATCTATACGGATAATGCTAGTCTGACTACATATCACATACTAGATTAGGTCAAAAGATTAATCCCATCAGCATTTTGATGGATGATACCTCTTGGGAAACGAGGGACAGGAAAAAACCATTTACTGAAGTGTACTTGAGGAGGAAAAACAAATTAACGTTTGTACTTTTTTTTTTTTTTCCCCCTACAAGAAGTTTCCTGCAAAACAGCCAGTTTACCCGATAGTTCCTGGGTCCTGACAGTTCTAACAAGATTGCTGCTATTTTGAATTGTTCAGAAAGATAAGCAAAATAAAATTGCAGTTTCAAAACAGTTTAACAGCTCAGGTCAGATCTGGGCCATGGAGCATAATTGACTCTGATGAAATCAGCTTTCAGCTGAGGCAGAATCTCATTTTGAAGATTGAAAAATCATGCAAGTTTTAATGATCAAATGCATTTGGTTTGAGTGACACAAGGAAGTGCTTTTTTAAAAACCAACAATTCTAGATTAATCTGTTGCATGTATTATTAAAGCCATATTAAAGTGAGTTTTCTGTGGGAATCTTTGTGAGCAAACGAAACTACAGTAGCTAATAAGAGCTGTTTGTGCAGAGCAGCAAATGAACATTGCGGTAGTTAACAGACTATTGGGAGACAGTGCTGTTAGGTTTTCTGAATCTTAAAGTCAACTTCCCTAGGGTTCATTGGGCAAGCTAAGGAGCAGCCTTAAAAACTGCTGGTCACAATTCCCTTATAACAGGGGTTCTCAACTTTTTTCTTTCTGAGGCCCCCCCAACAACTGGTTTTATGCATATAAAAGCCAGGGCCAGCATAGGGGGTAGCAAGCGGGGCAATTGCCTGCGGCACCATGAGGCTAAGCTGCTCAGGCTTTTGCTTCAGCCCCAGATGGCGAGGCTCAGGGCCCTGGGCTTCAGCCCCACGCAGTGGGGCTTCGGCTTTCTGCCCTGGGCCCCAGCGAGTCTAATGCTGGTCCTGCTTGGCGGACCCCCTGAAACCTGCTCGCAGCCCCCCAGGGAGCCCCAGACCCCTGGTTGAGAACCACTGCCTTACAGAAATGTGTCATAAATGTAATCGTTGGGTTCAGTTGATCCAGTGTTCATGTTGGCTTTAAGAAACTGTGAACTAGGAAAGGAGCAGTTCTACTTGCAGATATCTCTAGAAAGTTAAATTGGTGTCCACAGGACCTTAATCACAAATCTCTGCCCAATGAACAGCTGAATGTGTTTAAATGGAAATAGCCATAGGTTTTGGCACCTTTTCTTCAGTGTCTGGTCAAGACAACCTATAAACCAGTTGGTGTATTTAAAAGAGAGAAGCAGGTTTGGGGTGACTGCCTGGCTTTGTTAGTGTATTCTGCCCTGGGATGACTCATTTGGTTGCCATGTGGAATGGAATTGGTGATATGCAATTTTTTCAAGCAAGGATCTAGTGTCTTAAAAATGTGAGCTGCTTTTCGCCAATGGCTGTTCATTTTTAAATGCATCTCAGACTAGCCTGTAAGGACAGAGTTTGCCTAGCCTTGGATCTCATTGAACTTCTGTGACTTTTCCCTGCCACGCTCTCTGGCGGGAAAACACTTCCAGCTTCAGGCTGCTTATTTGTGGATAAATCTGTTAACATGGTGTGGGACGGTGCACAATGTTTTCAGAAATGGTCCCATCTACTAGAAAAAGTCTTCTGTGGCATTGTCCAAAATGCTCTGCCTATAGTGGGAAAAGAAGTCTAAAGAGTAGCTTTTCCCTGTTTCCTCCTCCTTGAAGGACATGGCTCATCTTTCTGACAGGTGGAGTGGGGAGATGAGCTTCTGATGGCTGGAACTGAGGAGAGCCCGTGTGAGTCAGAAGGGAATGGGATAGAGTGCTAATGGGAAAACATGATTGTTAAACTGGGGCAGGTCATGAGCAAAATGCCCATTTCTAGTCCATCGTTAGAAAAACCATGTTGCTAAAATCCTTCATCATTATGAAGTAGGTTAACAAAACTGTCGGCTAATTGTCTCCTCTGCAGTGTCCTCTTTGGCAGTGAAGATCACAGACAATGCAAGTATTGATTTCTCCTGTGAAAACTAAAAAAAAAAAATAGTAAATACAGCACAGCATGGTGCCTTTGCTTTGCTTTTAGAGCCCTTACTTCTACAGGTGTTAAGGTGAAAATAAACTGAGCAGACAATAAAGGGGAGAACACAAGAAGTGTGTGTGGGGGGAGGGGGGAATATGGTGTCATTCTGTCAGTCAAGGCTGCACTGTAGTCGGAATAGCAGATTGGTGAGAAAACCAAGTCTTTTCAAGAAATCTATTGAGGGGCTTAAGCCCTCTGGAGTTGGTTTAAAGTTTGTGACACTTGTTGTCCTGGAGTGGTTAAGTCCTTAGACTGTCCATCTCTTGGGCAAGGGGCAGGGAAATCC